TTACGTACGTACGTACGTACGTACGTACGTAGTACGTAGTAGTAGTAGTAGTACGTACGTACGTACGTACGTACGTACGTACGTACGTACGTAGTGTGTGTGTGTGTGTGTGTGTGTGTGTGTGTGTGTGTGTGTGTGTGTGTGTGTGTGTGTGTGTGTGTGTGTGTGTGTGTGTGTGTGTGTGTGTGTGTGTGTGTGTGTGTGTGTGTGTGTGTGTGTGTGTGTGTGTGTGTGTGTGTTGAAAGATAAAACCCAGAGCTATGACTCATTCCGAGCCTGGGCTGATATTGATCGGTCCATCTCCTGTTAAAAACGGGGGAACATTCTTTACCTTTCTCTGTGCCCATTTGTCCCTTAGAAGGCAATTACCTCCCCTTCATCAGCTGGACCGGCGCTTCCGTCTCCCGCACCCCCTCTCTCTTTAACAGCATCCACCCTTTTGCTCATTTAGTCAATACGCCCAAGGGTCCGATACAAACCCCCACCGTGATTCTAGAGGATAACTGACCCTAATATCAAATCACAAAAACACCTAACAGTAATCGGTGTGAGGATTTCTCTGGAGAGGAAATCCTGACAAAGGTGAGTTAATGTATGGTGAGCACCATAAACCCTTTAAGGTGTTCAATTAACTTCCAGCTTTCAAGATGTTCAGATTTTATGTTCGATTATTTTTAAATGTCTCGTGTTGTGGAGATTAGCTGATAAACACTTTTTCTGTTGTAGTTGACAAATCCAGCAAAAAGACTAAAACCAAAAGTAACCTCATCCTCCTAGAAATGATTGTCAGTGTGTCGAAGGTCAGATATAGATTTTTCCGCCACACCGTGAGTAATGTAGCACTAAAGAGATAATGAATGAGCATTAGTATTTGGTTCATTTTGAGTCACTCTCCCATATACAGTCCTGCAGCAAAAGATACGCCCAAATCCTACACTGAAAATTACAAGACAGATACAATAAGGAATTATGTTGGCTAAAGACTACAGTTCCAGAAAAAATATAATTCCTTACTCCATAGCCCATTTGTCTCCTATTCTCTTCCCACCTCTCTCCACACCCACCCTAACATCTCACCTCCCCCACGGCAGGGTCCTGCTCTCCTAGTCCCACGATAATGATGCAGTCGGCCTGACGGATGCAGCGCTGCGTCCAGGGGGTCAGTGTGTAGTCCGTCTGGTACAGAACTATGCGATGGATGTCTTCCTGTTGGCCCAGCCAGCTGGACAGACGGTACTCGTGGACACTGCAGAGGGAAGAAGTGCATTAATGACAGCCGAACTGGCAGAACACTGAACATCCATTTGCGCCAATTAAGTATACTTAAGCTGAATGTAATGAGTGAGCCAGAATGACAGCCAGCCAACAAAGTATCAAATAAGCCAACAAGTAGTAAGAGCAGAGTGTGTTGGGGGGGCTGAGAAGAATGAACCACTTTCCACACGATTCTCAGTGAGTCACAAATCACACCTGTCTAATGCTGCAGCTCCAAGTCGCTGTTTAATGACATCACTGGTCAGCAGAAGCGTGGGACCTGTATGTGGAAAAACACAGCAGGTACAGTCAATGTGACTCAGACAGGCGGCATGAGAAGTGCTTTTAATCATAATATTACAATAACCTAAATGAACAAAGGGTTCTGCACTGGGAGTACAGGTAACACACTTTACTGTTTTAGCTAATACATTCAAAGCCATAAAACACACTGGACAGGACAGACACTCCCTTAGGCTTTAAACGCTCTTGCTGGAATAAAATCCAATTTCCTCAATTCAATATGTACCTAAGGCACGCTCCCAGTTCAGATTGGAGACCTGGAGTAAACAGGAGATCCTAACATTCATCTACTGTGGAAGAGCCAGAGGTGTTACATCGTACTAGGGAGTAGCTATTGTACAAGAGGACCAGACACATCACACCTAAGTTGTATGAGTCGAGCAGAACAAGGCTCTGGTTGGGCGGCCATAAGCAGAGGTTTCCTGAGAAGGCAGAATGTGTGCCCACGCTGGAAATGGTTTGGGCTAATTTAATATTATATAAAAAGAGACCATCCGGAACCTGAAGTGTCCTCGACCCTGAGCTCTGCCCTCTCTGCGGAGGATGGCACCGAAAACTGCCGTCAGCAAGATTCTGAGTATTTCTTACCTATTGCCATGAGTGCATGCTGCAGCTCCAGGGTGAAGGCGGTGAGAGGCACTTCTTCTGATACAGGCAGCACCGTCACCGTGGAGAGGTTGGAGGCTTGGTTCCCCGCATCCCACTTACTGCCCGGAGTGTGAAGGGCTAAACTGCGAGCTGAGGACATGCACACACATTAGCAAACCTCCCCCTCAACAGTGAGTGGAGATTAACACCAACACAGGTGGAGGCAACACTCTGAGCATATGAAGATACCTCACCTGTCAGAGGACCGTTGACCTGCTGGAGGATCTTCTCCCCCAGTAAGTGGATCAACCTGGTGACAACCTGAGAGGCCAGCATATTTAATAAGAGCCTTTGTGTTTCAGGTTGCAACTTTCCCATCATGTAAATAGTTATGCTTTAGATATGTTCGCAACAACATTTCAATTCAAAATACAAAGAAAATACATTTTTGGGAACCCTTTACTATTACTGGGTGATATAGGATCTTATTGCGGAGCGTAAAACATATAATGAGATGATTGTGGTGAATTTTCATTTTTGGATAGTATAGACAGAGAATTGAAAAATGAAGCCTGGTGAAAAGAATTAAAGAATTATCATTTAAGAAAGAACCGATTTTTTATTATTATACTTTATTGTGCATGGATCTTAATATTTAACATATATTTAATTAAAGATTGCAGGCTTTTCCATAAAAGGATGTTCCCTGAAAAATGTATGTGTCTGCAATTCAATATTTCTTTCTTAACTAAATGTACCGTAAAGTTATGTTTTAGGAAGGTCTTTTGTGCCATTTCAGTTATATTTAGAAGTGGGATATCATAGTAAATCAATTTATTTTCAACAGGGATAATTGTGGCATGCATTTTTTATATGGTCCCATGCCTTCCCTTTACCCACACTTTTGTGAAGTTGATGATGAATTATAGATATGTTCTCATTGTCTGGGGTAACATCTTCATTCATTTTCAAAGCTGACCTTTTGGACATTTCTACAATCAAATCAATATCCAATAAAAACTCATTGAAAATGAATTGTGTTTGTGTTTTCACATCAGCTGAATTTCCTTTTTAAGATGAAGGTTCAGCCTACCTGCGGGTATTTCCTCTTGATGGAGCTGAGAGCTCCTTCTGGTAGCTTGGCCAGCTCGGAGTCTCGCACAGCGTGCACAGTGGTGGCTCGGTTCTGATGGGTCAGGGCCTCCACCTGCAGAGAGGCAAAGGAAAGAGCGTGCACGTTGTGACACATTGTTAACACTAAGGGCCATCATCAAATCCCAATGATTCATAACCATTACATGAAATAAATATATAAGATCAAGGACGTGCAAAGGTCCTTGATCTTATATATTTGCCATTTTTGTCTGACCTGCCCCTCTGGAGAGAGCGAGAGTTTTTTTTGTGTTCTATTGTGGCCGAATCAACACGATAAGCCCACAATTAGTATCGTAGCGTCTCGCAACAAATATACTTGTTATTGTGCCTCTGTCTTTCCGTGTCTTTTCATCTGTAAACTCCCTCAATGGGGCCGCTCTCTCTCTTCTCTTGATCGCCCTCTCACGGACAACACGTCACTGTCCCGCTTCATTGTAGGATTTCTGCCATGTCTCTACTTTAGTTTGACCATCTCTGTTATGAAGTTATGGAATACTAAATAAATAAGTAATTAGATACCTTACTGTCACTGCGCTCATAAAGAATGATAAGAATAAGAATAAGTAAGTATAATACGTATTCGTTAATTAGTAATTTATATAATTAGTTAAAGCCCTATTTTATTAGTATGTCTGCACAGCAGTTACAAAGGTCAAACTACATTAGAACAGAATTGTCCCCATGTTTTCTTTAATAGTTA